GCCCAGGCCAGCGGGCGATGGGAAGCCGCACGCGCTCTGCCGCTGGCCGAGCACCGGCGGCAGCCCCAGGCGCCCCGGTGGGTGGCTCGGCACCTCAGCGGGCGCGGGCGTTGGGGGGGGAGGGCCCCAATCCACCTCCTCCTCCTCCCTAATTTGTTCCTCCTCCTCCTCCTCCTCCTCCTCCTCCTCCCCATCCTCCCCCTCCGCCCTTCCCTCCACCTTCTCGTCCTCCTCTTCCTCCTTCTCCTCCTCCTCCTCCATTCTTTTTCCTTGAAAGAACTCCCCCTGCCGCACCCCGAGGCCAGATTTTAGGACGGCCCAAAAGTTTCGTGGGGGACTTCCTCGCCATTTATGACTCTGAGACTTAAAATTGACAACAGCTTCACAGATGGAGGGCGGGTCGTTTTCAAAATGTGGCTCTCGCCATAGCGCAGCGCACTTTCGTCTTATTTAATAACAAATGTATGAGTTTCATGGATTGAGAGCGAATAGTTTTCAAAATGTGGTGCTCGCCTTAGCGCGGCGCACATTCGTTTTTTTAATGTGCGACGGCTTCACGGATTGAGGGCAGGTGGTTTTAAAAATGTGGTTCTCGCTTTAGCGCGGCGCACATTTGTTATAAACATTTGCAAGCGTTTCACGGATTTGAAGGCGGGTGGTTTTCAAAATGTGGCTCTCGCCTTAGCGCGGCGCACGCTCGCTTCAAACCCTTGCAAAAGTTTCACGGATTGAAGGCGGCTCCTTTTCAAAATGTGGCTCTCGCCCAGGCGCCGCTCACATTCGTTCTGCAAAAATACATCAGGGATTCGCGGACTCCCATCATCAACGTATCAGAAACTGTGTTTTGGAAGGATTCAGGATTATGCGGGTGCAAAAATTACGTTGGTTCTCTGTGCTGACGTCCTAGAACTGGCGTTCTGGCACGATTCGGGATCGTCAAGGCGCTACAATCCAGTTGACCCGTGGCGTTGGAATCCCGAGAACGATGTTTTGGCATACTTCAGGGTCTTGAAACGGTTGTCTTCCAACGAGGCAATTCCATCAATGGACATGAACCGTTCCAGGGGCCTATGAAGAGGGAGCTTGGAGGGAGGGCTTAACTCCAACATCGTTGGTGATCTGGGGTTTACACTGGTACTCCTCCTCCTCCAATCTTTTTTCGTATAAGCAACTTCTCCCTGTCGCACCCCCAGGCCAGTTTTTAGGGCGGGCCGGGCGTTTCGCCTGAGACTTCCTCACCTCACGTATAACTCTGAAGCTAAAATATTGGCAACAGCTTCACAAATGGAGGGCGGGTGGTTTCCAACATGTGCCTCTCGCCTTAGCGCGGCGCACATTCGCTTTAAACACTTGCAAGGGTTTCACGGATTTGAAGGCGGGTGGTTTTCAAAATGTGGCTCTCGCCTTAGCGCGGCGCACATTCGCTTTAAGCATTTGCAAACGCTTCACGGATTAAAAGCGAGTGGTTGTCAAAATGTGGCTCTCGCCCTAGCGCGGCGCACATTCGTTTCAAGTATTCGCACAAGTTTCACGGATTGAAGGCGGCTCCTTTTCAGAATGTGGCTCTCGCCTGAGCGCCGCGCACATTCGTTTACAAAATTAGTCGGGGGTTCACGGATTCCCATCATCAGCATGCCATAAATGGCGTTCTGGAAGGATTCAGGATTAAGCGGGTGCAGCAATTACGTTGGTTCTCTGCGTTGACGTCCTAGGAATGGCGTTCTGGCACGATTCGGGATCGTCAAGACGCTACAGTCAGGTTGATCCGTGGCGTTGGAATCCAGAGAACAATGTTTGACATACTTCAGGGTCTTCAAACGTTTGTCTTCCAAGGAGGCAGTTCCATCAATGGAAATGAACCGTTGTAGGGGCCTATGAAGAGGGAGCTTGGAAGGAGGGTTTACTCCAACATCGTTGGTGACTCTTGGGTTTACACTGGTCCTCCTCCTCCTCCTCCTCCTCCTCCTCCTCCTCCTCCTCCCCCTCCTCGCCATCCGCCTCCTCCCCTCCTCCTCATCCTCATCCTCCTCCTCCTGCTCCACCTCCACCTCCTCCTCCTCCTCCTCCTCCTCCTCCTCCTCCTCCTCCTCATGGGTCCTGGTTCCTGATGGCTGCATGGTCTTTCAGGCGAACCCAACCCAACCCTGCTCCGCAGGGCTGGTCTGTAAAGTGGCCCCACTGACCACAGCGGGGGGGGGGGGGCTTCCCCGCGAGGGGAGGGAAACCGACGGAAAGGGACGACCCGAACAGGCAAACAGCCCAGAAGGAGAAGCGAGAGAGGCGAGAGGAGAAGAGGCAGAGCGGCAAGCACGACGAGGAAGAACGGAAGGCAGGGAGGGAGGGAGGTCCCAGACAACCTGGAGAACCCCCGAAATGCCCGTCCGCATAGCGGCTGCTCCAAGGTGTGCTGACCTGAGGTCCCTACTGAAGCGGCAGGAGGGGGGGGGGCACGGGGGGGGGTATCCAGGGCCCCAGGGCTGCGGCCTCAGAATTGTTCGGGTGCGCGTCCTGGGTCTCCACTCCCACTCCATCTCCATCTACTCTCACCCCATCACAACCCGATCCTTCCCGCCCCGAAGACGCAGGGCGGCAGTCGGCTGCGCGGCCGCGGTGAAACTAAAAGTTGGCATCGAGGCAGAAAGCTCGGCTGGCGTGGCCGCGGGGGCAAGCTACTTGAACACCCAGGGCTCCCAGCGTGTTGAAGGTTCCCAGGTTGTCCAGGGCTCCCACCGTGTCCAGTGCTCCCAGCATGTTAAGGGCTTCCAGTGGCGGAAGGTAGGGCGGCAGGATGTGCATGTGGGAGGACGGGGCGAAGATGGGCGCCTCTCTCCGCAAGCTGAAGCCCTGCGGTTCGCCATGGTTTTGTCGTGGCCGACGTGGGCGGCGGGCTCGTTGTTGCACGTCCGGGTGCCGGACGGACATGCAGATGAACATCTGGTCACTGTTCTCGAAATCTGTGTGGCGCGGTGCGACCACGATATGCTTACTTTACTGTGCCGGATGCGTCGCTTCTTTCGGTGGCGCGCAAACATGGATTAGCGATCCATGGATCTGGCGCGCGGTCGCCAAATCCATAGATCGGGGGAGGTGCCCTCCCCAAAATGCGGCCAGTGCCGCCTCTTTCGGCGGCGGAAATCCGCGATTCCCCATGGAAACGGGACCCGTCGCTGATCCACGCCCCCTTGATCCATGTCTGCAGTCGCCTGATGCTTGAATCTGCTCACGTCTACATCTGCCCCGTCGTGCATGCCGTCGCCAGGTCGCCAAAGAAAACCACGTTCTCGATCATGGCAGCTCGTGGACAGCACGCACGGTATTGAGACTGTGGCGGCGCGCCTCCCCTTGTGGAGGTTGGCGCGCCTGGCCTGTCGCCCGCTGCGTGGCCCCTTCCCCTGTGTCGCGGGCCGGGCGGGGGGGCCACGCCCCCGAGTCGGGCAACGGCTTTCCACCTCCTCCTCCTCCTCCTCCTCCTCCTCCTCCTCCTCCTCCTCCTCCTCCCCCATCCTCCCCCTCCTCGTCCTCCTGCTTCGCAGGCATCCCCAGGCATCCTTAGGCGCAGACATTGGGGGGCAGAATTCGTCTGAACGTTTGCGGTCAAGACAGCACCCAGACTCCCAACAGGCCCACAAGAGCGCCCCATGAGCCACCCGAAGATGGCCCCAAGACCCAAGAAGCTCAAGAGGCCCCCAAGATGCAGCCCAGAAGCCCTCAAGAATCCTCCATCAGGGCTGCTTAGACTACTCGACGCGTCACGAATTTCAACACTGCGTCGGTGATGCACCGCCGGGGTCGTGAAGTAGGCACACATGCTACATAGAAAGGTTCCATGACTCCGTCCATGATGTCCGAACGCCCATCCTAGTAACCACCCCTCTCTTGGACGCTCACGGTGTTTGGGCACGCGCTGCCCAGGATGGCGGGTACCAGAAACGTCCACGTGATCCCACGGTGACAGGCCGGGCTTGGGGCGGAGGGGGACGGAGGAGGAGGAGCAGGAAGAGGAGGAGGAGGAGGAAGAGGAGGAGGAGAGGAGGACCAGTGGAAGCCCAAGAGTCATCAATGATATTGGAAGTAACCCTCCCCCCAAATTTCCTCTTCATAGGCCCCTACAACGGTTCATTTCCATTGAGGGAACTGCCTCGTTGGAAGACAACAGTTTGAAGATCCTGAAGCGTGCCAAACACTGTTGACCGGATTTCAAAGCCACGTATCAACCTGACTGCTGCTTCTTGACGATCCAGAATCGTGACAGAACGCCATTTGTGGGACTTCAACACAGCGAACCAACATAACTGCTGCGCCCGCATAATCCTGGATCCTTCCAAAACACCATTTCTGGTACGCTGATCATGGGAATCCGTGAAACTATTCCAAATGTGAATAACGAATGTGCGCGGCGCTAAGGCGAGAGCGACATGTTGAAAACCACCCGCCCTCAATCCGTGAAGCTCTTGCAATTTTTGTAAAACATATGTGCGCGGCGCTAAGGCGAGAGTCACAGTTTGAAGACGACCCGCCTTCAATTCGTAAAACTCTTGCCAATTTTGTAAAACGAATGTGCGCGGCGCTAAGGCGAGAGCCACATGTTGAAAACCACCCGCCCTCAATCCGTGAAACTCTTGCAAATGTTTGTAAAACGAATGTGCGCGGCGCTAATGCGAGAACCACATGTTGAAAACCACCCGCCCTCAATCCGTGAAACTCTTGCAATTTTTGTAAGGCGAATGTGCGCGGCGCTAAGGCGAGAGCCACATTTTGACAACGGCCCGCCCTCCATCTGTGAAACTGCTGCCACTTTTTTAGCTTCAGAGTCATAAATGGTGGGGAAATCTCAAGCGAAACGTCCGGCCCGCCCTAAAAACTGGCCTCGGGGTGCGACAGGGAGAAATTATCAAAAAGGAGAAGGAATGGAGGAGGAGGAAGAGGAGGGGGGGAGAGGGAGGAGGGGGAGGAGGGAAAAGGGGAGGAGGAGGAACGTTTGGCGAAGAACGAGGAGCGAGGGGGAGGAGGAGGAGCAACATCCATTCTTCCCTCGCCCCTCCCCTGACATCCTCACGCCGCGAAAAAAAACACGACGGACAGCTAATAACTGT